TTTGATATGTAAAAGTGGTACGATTTTATTAAGTGTCTGCGCATGTGAACTATTAGTGGAAACGGTCAAACAATTGTTCTGATGGTGATGTGATTCTCAAGATAAGGTAACTGTCTGCTTATGTGCCTTGAGATACCATCGCCAAATGTCAGCTGTCTGCTGGTTCAAGTTTCCGTCAAAATCTCCCAAGGGCTGCACAATGTGACGCATCAACATATTGTGAAGCATTGTACTATGAAGGATGTAACTTCAGGCTCAGAAGGGCTAGAACCCAGAGCCGTAGAGCCAGTTACAAAAAACAGTAAATGAGATAGAAGTATCGGAGGCAAATGATTTTAGGGGTAAATTAAAAAAAATATTCAAAACATTTAACTACTAGCTGTATCCGGCCAGTTGCTGTGGCTCAAAAAGATTTCCGAAAAATATATAGAAACACGCGCGTATTCGAATAAAACGTTGTATCAAATTTAATTATGTTTTCAGTTTAGGAGGATTGTCAGAGTTCTGAATTAATTACGATAAAAATACATTTCACTAAAAATTCCGTATAACGAAACGCAAATATGACAATTTTTTTATAGTGTTGTGAGATTAGATGTCAAAAACCGATGTAAAAAGTGTGAAACGGGACGGTGTAGACGGCCATAATTTGGGCAACCGTAAATGTCAAATATAATATATTATCTATGATGTCAAATGTCATTCCGTTTCTCTAGTGGTCACGCGAATGTTCTCTCTTGTGCTTAGTGCTGTGTTTTCCCTGATTTTTCGACGACTTCTACTCTGTTTTTGAACTTTTTTGATATGATTTTTTTTTATAGGATAGGGTGCAAACGAGCACACAGTCCACCTGATGGTAAATGGTTACTGTGACCCATAGACATCTACATCTATCCTCAATAAAGACTCAATATGCAGATGCGTTGTCACCCGTGAGGACTGAGATGGAATGCCTCTTTGCCAGTAAAAAGGGTCTCCGGTTCTCTACACTCAACATACGAAACACAGCAGCGTTAAGCTGCTATTTTACGCTGGTTTTCTGTGAGAGCGTGGTACTTCCCCGGTTGAACCGACCCATTCGTGCTAGAACTATATTACTAATATAGTTGCAGCATGGCTCTACCACGTAAATTTAAAACAACATTGTTTCATTTACCACTATCATAGCAGAGTTTAGGGAAACCTGACTTTATGGATAAGATAGATCGAATCTGTACTAAAACTGTATCAGAAAACCCCGAATCCACGTAGTCTTGCCTGCCCTACCCCTAGAATGTTTTTGTAAAGGCGTAGGCGCGAAGGGAGAGCAGCCCCCGCCCGCTGTAGCAAATCGCAGGCCCTGAGTGAGCATGGGTGCCTGTAATTTGCTACGCAAGGGCGAAGGGGCTGCACTTCCCGCAGCGCTGAAGCCATTGCAGAAGTAACATTTTATTTATAAGCATTTATAAACAGACAAACATTATCAATATTTTAATAGATATTTAGAAAACAAAAATGCATTATTATAATAAAAACTACATAAAGTAAAATGGTTTCATAAAAAAAAATAAAGATATCAAAGTTAGTTTTGTAAATATACAATACACAAAAGTATTCTTAGCATAGAATCATACAAATTGAAAATGTAATAGAAATCGCTTAGTCTACAATAGAACACTAGTAGATACCAAGTTTTGCGCACATTACAACATCGATTTCAGCCATATTTTCGCAACGATGGCGCCCATTAGAAACGTACTTATTGCTTGTACACGTAATATTTCCATATAGTGTCCGCTATACCGCAAACAATTTAAAATAACATTTTATACCAACAATACATTACAATAGTGATTGTCATCAAATCATACATTATTATCATCTGATATGTATGTATTAACGATTCGTTATCAAGAGAGTCTGTGTCGGTTCTATACAATGTCAGATTTTAGATTATTTAATTGACTAACAAAATTAATTAATAAAATTAGCTTAAAGTTGCTTGCCTTGCTTACCAACTTTAATATAATGGATTTCTGCAAAGTAACGCCTGATTTAAAGATAAAATTAGCGTCTACATTAGCGTAACTTTCTACGAAATCAAGCAAAACGGAAGCAACTAAGAGTTCTTATTGAACGAGAAAACGCAGCCTCTCAAACGACAAAAACGATCGACGAAAAATGTAAACACCTTGTGCTTTACCCAAATCAGCTTTCACAGTCAAATATCAACATGGTGGGCGGGAAACTTTCCTATCTTTTACTGTTGTTTACATTTTACATTTAAAAAAAAAAGTTTCATTTTTCTTTACAACCCATTCACCCGTTCTACAGTTTAGAAAGTACCTTAAAAACCAATTAAATAAACATTATCGATTTAACAACTTACGACCCATTAAAGTGTAACATTTTAAGTCGAAACTTCTTGATTATAGAAATCGGCGCTTGTGACATAGTAACTAAAAGTTTTGAAACAAAAAAAAATTGTTTTAAATCGACACAAAATATCTTGATACCCCATATATAACAATTAATGCGTTATCTTAAATATCTACACAATCTTAAATAAAAATATGGTAACCCAAAAATAGCATTACTATCATGTCCCATTCTAATATCAAATGACATTAACACACACATATATCGTAACTCCTAGCCTAAAGTATATCGGGAATTTGGGATTAAATACATTTTTATAACACTACTTAACCATAAACAACATTTGCAACAGTAAAAATTATTCAGCCGAAATATTTGAAACGACTGATTACTTAAATTACAAACAATTATAACTTCTATAATAATAATTACAAGCGACAGTAGCCTAATGACAGGGTGCGGACCGCGAACTTCAAAGGACGTCGGTCCGAATCAGCCATTCGACTACTGTCGTGAACCACTCCTAATCCTAACACAAGCATTTTAAGCTTACCAGAAGTGGTTAAATGGAATATTAGTAATGTTAAAATCAGTACTAGTATTTTTAATATAAAAAAAAAAATTCTCGAGTCGTATCTAGGTAAATATACATCACAATTACTTTTCTGACGTTATGATTTTTTTTTTAATATTACGTTGGTAATGTAATAAATGGCAAGATTAATATCAATAAATATTATAATATCAGATTGAGTACAAATATTTTTTCCCCAGTTCTTGTCGATAAACACAACATAATCTTTCATTAGGTACTTGTTTTTAAAAAAAGACCGATGATATACGATTATAATTCTGTTAAATAGTTACAAAAAAAAATGGAGCGCGTTATATTTTCATATACTTTAATTTCTCGAGTTACAAAATAAAAAACAAAATGAAATTTTCGAAAAAGCACAACGATTTAGTCCAAAGTAGATTTCAAAATTGTACTATAATCATAACGTTTTAGTAGCTTTAATAGATTTAAAAAAAAGCTTTCATAGATGGCCATTTCATTAGCTATTTCGAAAATAGTTTAGCAAGTTACTTCCTACTTTTAAAAAAAAACTTATAACATTTTACATAATAAAAAAAAACTTTATGGCCAAAAACAGAGCTTCCGCTCGAATTACACAATAAAAAAATAATTACATTAAATCGCATGTAATTAACATCAAACTATAAGTAATTATTATAATCATCATAGGTACAATTTTCAAAACATTCTCACATAATAATCTACACTTTGATAAAATCTTACTATGTTACTAAAATATAATATAGTTATTATGATTTATGATTAATTCTAAAATCCATTCATTCCCATTAGGCATTTAATTCAAAATGAATTAATAAGAAATAATAAATATTATATGCTAGCTGTAATTAAATAAAGGAGATATATATAAATACATAATTTTTGCTCTATCACTTAATGAAAAAACACAAAAAATATACTGCAGTCGAGCTTTGAGTCAAATATCAATTATAATGACCTACGTATTATGGGGCGACGACCTGGTAAGACATGCAGGAAGTCGATGGATGTAGGTGATTCAGGACCGTGCTTTGTGGCATTCCTTGGGGGAGACCTATGGTCAGCAGTGTACTTGTGAAGGATTGTACTGATGTTGATAATGATTAATTATGATGGAGATTTATGTTTAGCGGTGGACATTTTAAAGGCTGTAATGAATGAATAGATAAACACCTCTTTTAATGTGCTTTAAAAATTAAACGCAATGTAATCCTATCACACAAGTCCCATTTTATACAAAGTCGAAAGAAACCAATGTCACCTTTAAAGTAAGGGAAACGTAAATGCAACTATGTTAATAGAGACAAATGAAAATATTATGCAAGATTTTATTTCGATTTTCAACAGCAATGCTAAGATTCATTCAAAGGTATTTAGAGGTTAAATCACACTTTAAAAAAATAAAAATACTCACCAAAGCTTTCTGTTGTTCAAAATTTAAAAAACAATAATTTAAGTTTATTACAGACAATATATTTAACCGAAATTCTATTTTTTCCATAGCATTTCCACCAAAGCATCACTATCATATTAACATTTTTACTGTTTTTTGGCTGACGACCATTTTAGTGTAGTCGTAAATTCAAGTCATAAATAAGCACGAAATAATATAATTATGTATTGTGCATATTAATTACTCCTCAAATTATTAATAACTAAAACCTTCCGCGAACTGCCACACAACCAAAAAAAAAAACAATGAATAAAATTATATCTCTAAATAACAATACATATTAGAAGGTAAATTAAACATATTTTGATACTAAAAATCGAATTGTTTTCACCATTCAAACAGGCTATTTAAATAATTGAGTACATGTAAAAAAAAATTGAACCGACTTTATCTTTCAAAGCAACTCTTTTTTGGTGAAAAACATAAACAAAATCGATTAACTAACATCGACGATATTGTGTTAAATATAAATTTAAAAAATACAGTCATGTCAGAACGTTCATCCTTTTTTTAAGTCGAATAAAAATTAAACCAATAGCGATCGTCCTATTTATTAAAAAAAAAAAGAAGTTCCTGTCAAAATAAACGAAACTAATGTCATTACAAATCTCCTTACTCCATGGTGTCGTATTGAACCTTCTTGACTTTCAAGTAGCGCCAAATCGCGTAACCGACCAAAGTACCCGCAGTGGCTATTGCTAACGCTGCACCCACTGCTACCGGGACCGCTTCGGACCTTGTCCGAGCGGAGTCCGAACAATGCCAAGGAGGTCCGAACTCACCGTCACGTTTGAACATGAACGCTTGCAGACGCATTTGTCGTAGGTAGAGCTTTGCGCGATGAGCGATGTTCGAGCTGTTGGAGAAGTAAATTTTATTTAAAAAAATGTCGGACAATCTTCTTCTACATTGGCCCGTAACACTCTACTACTGAAGATGCGCCTCTCTCGTTATAGGTTTAATTTGCCTTAATCATATAACTACGATAATGCCTTAATACGTAAATAAATAAACGTGGTACAGCCATACCGACAACCCATCTACATTTTGATTCTTAATCGAGGAATAAGTAGTTGTCTATAGGCCCCCACTAGATGGAGTGACGACCTGGTAAGACATGCAGGAAGTCGATGGATGCAGCTGGCTCAAGACCGTGCTTTGTGGTATTCCTTGGGGGAGGCCTATGGTCAGCAGTGAACTTGTGAAGGGCTGTAATGATGATGATGATGATATCCACTTACCATGAGGTGTGTGGATTGTGTGCTCGTTTGTCACTCCTATTCAAAAAATATCGTCACTTTAGCTGTGGAAGTAAAAGGGGGCATTTCCCAACGGGCAAGGTGATCAACCCGAGGAGCGGTCAACGCTCCATATGGTAATACAAAACCATATAAATCACAAGTACTTCGGAACTTTATAGCGCGATTTAGGCTTCGGTGCGTTTTTGCTTGTGGTGAGATGACAGTACACCGCTACATCACCCCCCCCCCCCCCCTCAGACTGGAAGTCGATGGTGCAGTCTAGTTAGCCAGCCGACAAATGTGCAAGTGCCAGGGATTCGAGAAGAAAGCAAGTGATCTGCGAGAGTACCGTGAAGCAGATGCGAGCAGTAAATCTCAGAGCCATGCTGAACACTGTAGCGCAGAGAGTAGCTTGAAGGAAGAGGAAGCATTATACCAGTGCTGTGATAAAAAACCTTGTAAAGCTAGCTGGCTTGCAGGATATGAAAACCGCCAACAGTGAAACTCAGACTCAGACTCGAGAGCGAATGAACGGGATACTTGAGCAAAGCTTGAAAGTTGCGATTGCATGTTGCGTGTTCAGATCACGTCGGGGTCACTAATTTTGCCATGGTACGGAAAATAGGAGATCTCTCACCGGGCATGGTGTTCTGCCCGGGGAGCAGCCAACGCACCGTGTGTTTGTTCAATGTTCAGAGCTGTTTATATATACAGCATTACTTTGGAACTTTGATAGCGTGATTTAGGTTTCTCGGTGCGTTTCGCTTGTAGCACAATGATAACGCCGCTACAGTCACACTTGGCAAGCATATTGACAATCGCAGCAGTAAACGTCAGCTTAACGTAGCAGCAGCTGAACGAGATAGTTATACCACAATCTTTCGGAAACCATTAGATCTTTATGGTATTTTCCATGGTCACTATACTTCTTACGTCACTCACGGGTTGACATGTAGGTGCAGGATTGTCTTACGCCGTCACTACACGGCAAACAAATGATCATTTCTTTTATCATTAAGTACGCAATCCGGGAAAATCTGTTTTAATAAATTACATAATTGGTAACATTCTTTAGGTTCTTTTTCATATCATGTTCTTTACCGCTTATTTACGATACTAAAAAAAGTAAAATTACAGCCTATATACTCGGAAGTCCCATAACGTCCCACGCTTACGATAGCACGTCACTACAATGTAATGAAAAAGGTCGAAACTTTATACATTCAAGTGTATCGACAATAGAGAATATAACCACTACGTTTAGTATCGACTGGCAATGACTGAAAGACTTGTGCCTAGTTCTGAACTTAAATCATTAAAAATTAAAAATGTTGTACAACCGACTTCAATATAAATTATTAAGAATTAACTAAATACAGATTCATTATCACTTCTAAGAGCATCTCGTTATCAGTAATAATTTAAAATTAAAAATTTTGTACAACCGACTTCAATATAAATTATTAAAAATAACTCAAAAACTATTGCTCAGACCTTGATCAAATTCATATGGAACCATACGTGAATCACCAGCTTTCAAATAAAAAAAGAATCATCGAAATCGATTCACCCAGTGAAAAGTTATGAGGTAACACATATTTAAAAAAAACACAGTCGAATTGAGTACCGGCTCCTTTTTGAAGTCGGTAGAAAAGCTGGTAAAGCCAGTGTTGCCGTTGATCCAGCTCCTAATCTCTCTCCGGTCGTGTCGGATTGCCGTTCCAGCGGACTATGCCTCCTGACTGACTATCATCTCTGCTTGGGCATACACTTGTGCATTTTAATCTTGTCCTACACAGATAGCTAGCCTTCGTTGAGACTGGCCGCTTTTACCGAAATTGAGTTTGGAGGACATTATAAAAACGTAAGGGTGTTGTCATCAGAAGTCAAAGATAGATTGACTCGTCATAAAATTTGAAGGGATGTGAATAAAGTTTACTCAAAACCTACACATTCACAAGTGTAAATGTGTAGATCTATTTCAAAAATATTTTAGCAAGTTAATTGAGGGCTTCGTGGCGCAGTGGCTTAACAATGAGTTCTAGCGCTGGGGGGCGCGGGTTCGAATCCCGCACGAAACAAGTATTTGTATGGCCTTCAAATAATTGTTCCGGGTCTGGATGTTTTTCCTTGTGCAATTTGTGTTTGTAAACTGCCTACACGATACAGGAGAAAATCCTAGTGTGGGGGTAACTTTGTTAAAGAAGAATTGCTACTTTTTAAAAAAAATAACTTAAAACATTTTACATAATAATGAATTAAAAATTTTGTACAGCCGACTTCAATATAAGTTATTAAGAATAACTCAAATAACTCAAAAAATGTTGGTCTGACCTTGATCAAATTCATATGGGACCACACGAGAAGTATCAGCTTTCATATAAAAAAAAGATTCATCGAAATCGGTCCACCCAGTAAAAAGTTACGAGGTAACACACAAAAAAAAACATACGCGTCGAATTGAGTACCGTCTCCTTTTTGGAAGTCGGCAGAAAAATAAATTGCAAAAACAGAGCATCCGCTCGAATCACACAATAAACAATTATTTAATTAAATTTAACATTTACAATTCTTTTTTAAATACAAGAGTACGAGCTAAAAGTCTACTTGACGGTAAGTGGCTGTTGCAGCCCATGAGGGCTGGCATAAAACTTCAAACAAAGAAGGCCACAGACGCACCGACTAAAGGACGAAGATGAAATTGTTTAACAACCTGTAATTTCTCAAAACCAACCAAACAAAAGTGATTGAATTGTTGCTTTGAGAACTTTGGCTGATAAAGGAGAAAGTTATAATTTATATAAAAAAGGGAAAACTATTTACTTAAACAGTGCAATTACTTTAAATAATTCTAAGAAAATATATTTGAGTTTGATGAGTTGATAATTTATGACTTTTTAATTTATTCACGTAAATAATTTATGCTAATGTTATAAAAAAATATTTTTGAAACATAATGTTGACTCAGTAGAAAAATGCAAAGGTTTTTTTTATAAGAATGTTTACACTTTTTTTTATAAGAATGTTTATAAATAAAGTCAATTGCCTCTTTTTTTCTTTTAATACGCTACAAGCAACAGAAAAATTGTTAATTTAAATGAAATTAATTTGCTTACTTTGTGTCGAGTTCTGTCAATTCGATTATGGTCTCATCTGGACAGAAAAACGACTTCCCAACAGGCGTAGGGAAGAGTAAAGCCCTGGATCCAGTACTGAGGGTCACTCTTCGTCCTTGTTGAGCTGCATGCTCCAATATACGGGAGCTTGAGTTGTAGGTCAGTCTTATGCTGTCCGCATACCAACGCTCACCACCTGGAGTCTGGAATAAAATATATTTCATTACAATCATATTACGACCGTATAGCTCTACGAACCGATAACCGATGGGGAAGAAATGATTTAGAATGGCAGTCTTGTACCGGCAAGCGGAGTGCAGCCCCCCCCCCCCCTCCCCCACTAATTCGTAAGACAACCTGGTATGATATGTAGGGCATGGCATATACAAATAGGAAATCTGTTGCGAGTTGGTCAATTCAATTAAATTTATAGTATGTTCGCTTAGATATGGTCGCTTTTGCGTCGCGCCGCCTTAGCACGTACCGCATCTTGTCAACTGCGTGGCCGTGACATAAAAGGTCTCCGCGTGCGGCGTACACCCGCAGGAGAATTTGGCATTTTAAAACCAAGCACCTTTGTGAAAGGTTCTTTGCCACCTAACTTGCGTATATATTCGTATTTTATTACAATAACCATAATAATAAAATAGTATTCTATTTTATTCTTCTAATAGAGAAACATATATTTAATAAACACAGTAAGAAATAATAACATAATAAGTGCGCCACCGATAATTGCGAACTCGGTCGAACCATTCAAAGCACGTGAACTAATTACACGTCGACCGTTGGAGGGCTGGACAATCGTGTAGTACTAGTATTAGAATGCTGTCGTTTCAAGCGGGTCTATTCGAACGGCTACTAGGATTTCTTAAATTATTCTCTTCAGCAACAAAGGAGGGAGTCGTCTCTCAGTTGGCAGGTGGTTAGCAAAAAATGGATTTGAGTTCAATATCTATAGTTACAGTTACAGTTACAGCCTATTAAAGTCCACAGCTGAACATAGACCTCCCCCATAGATTTCCTCATACGCCTCTCTCATATTTGCCATAGTTGCCATGCTTGGTAAGCAGGTTGGCTACCTCAGTCATTTTTTTAATTTTTAGTCGTTATTAGGAAGACGCTGCTGCCCAACTCTCGATTTGTTTCCCTCTGTCGCCTCTTCGACACCCACGGGACGATATAGGGTAGAAGAAAATATCTATAGGAAGTTTACAAATCAAATTACTATCTAGTTACACAAACCTTAGCGAATGACCATTCTAAGGAGAACTCTTTAAAGGATAGCACTAGGGTCTCAGCGTCGCCCTCCTTACACACACCGGCGACGTTTGCGTTGTTAGGCACAAACGTGTTCGCGTCCTGGAAACAAAAATAGAAACGTTAGTCTTTAAGTTTTCCTTTAATATACTAACAACTAAAGATCCGCCCCGGCTTCGCACGGTTGATGAATTACGCCACCTACCGGGCCCAATTGTAAATCTAATCCTTTCTCTAATCAACTTAATCACACACACAAAATTTCATCAAAATTGGTCCAAACGTTTAAGAGGAGTTCAGTCACGTACACACGTACAGGAGAATTATATCCTTCCATGTATTATAGATATAAACTTTTCTCTTAAATCGTTCTGTCTATTGATGGAAACCACATCAAAATTCGTTGCGTAGTTTAAAAGACCTAAGCGTACAGACGGCGAGAAGTGACTTTGTTTTATACTATGTAGAGAATGGAGATAACATCTCTGACTCACTCGTTCATCGGACCGGATATTTTACATCAATCTTATACAAGATGATTTTTTGTTTACATATGGGAGGCCATAAGATGTTTCTAGAACTTCGTCCGTCAACACTATGACGACACCCTCGGAACTGAATGGCGTGAGTCTAATTCAAAACGACAATAATTACGATATTACTGTTTCAACTAATTAAAAGACAGTGTCAAACTCGAAGTGAACAAATCAACTCCATCCAAATTGTTCCAACAGTGCTTGCACTACTATTTGACGGCAGAAATAAAGGTAATATAGTGGTTACTAGTCGTATGGACTATGCTAAGCTGAAGGAGTCCTACCTAGCCTGTTATAATCCAATTCATGAAACAACATCAACAAAATATTTTAGCTTTAAAGTGGTATTTTTCATTAGAGTCGAGTGTCACCCCCCCCCCTCCCCCTCTACTAACTAAACCGCTGTATATAGAATTGTGAAAAGTATATACAATAGTAGTATATATTATGAAGTTAGAAGCATAACTATCACAGCTAAGTACAGTTAAGAGGTTAACGAATAATAGTCGACCAAGTTATAAAATGGTAATCCAAGTAAAAATTTTGTTACAAGTCCATAGAAAATGACCTTAAACTCAAAAAAGCTGCATTATAACTTTTTAATATTATTATAAACTGTTAAAGATAAACATTTTATGAAGAAAACGACATTATATGCATTACTACTGTTAGCTTTACTTTTTAATTTTCGAGATAGATAGGGTATTATTTCGAAATACAATCAAAAAATAAAATTTAAAAGTTTTTTTTTTTATATTTTTTGAATATCACTCCCTATAAAGCTGATTTGAAAATATGTCCTTCAGTTACGATCTTCTTATTTGGGTCTATTTTTAGTCGATACAGCGGTCAAACCGCGAACCTAATTATTATGCTCATTACCAAGAATGCCCACGTATTGTGATGGGCAACTACGGAGCCCTACCTCTACATTGTGCATGACTTTATTTTTTTTATGCGATAAGGGTGACAATCGAGAACACAGTCCATCTGATGGTAAGTGGTTGCTGCGACCCATAGACATCTACATCTATCCTCGTTTGCGAATCAAAATGCAGATGCGTTGTCACCCGTGAGGACTAAGATGGAATGCCTCATTTCCAGTAAAAAGGGCCTCCGGCCACCTGCACTCACCAAGCGAAACGCAGAGGTAAACCTCTACTTCACGCTGGTATTCTGTGAGGTCGTGGTACCACCCCGGTTTGAGCCGGCCCATCCGTGCGACAGCAAAAGCTGCCGCGTGGCTCTACCACTGTTTACATTTTTAATTTTTGAAAATGGAAAGGTTTTATTCTGTATATAAACTTTTTAATTAGGAAACTAAAAATATTTTAAACTATAAAGTCGTAAATAATTTAGGATTAAGGTATCCCTAGATTCTGTTGATGTGTGTACCAACTAGCGGAGATTGGTAATTAGAGAAAGTTTTTCTATCTCTACCAGGATGACACAAAGCAAAAAAGTATAATAATACTAAGTTTTTGTTATTTTATAGGATAAGGGTGACAAACGAGCACACAGTCCACCTGATGGTAAGTGGTTGCTGCGGCCCATGGACATCTACATCTATCCTCTGTTACAAATCAAAATGTAGATGCGTTGTCACCCGTGAGGACTAAGATGGAATGCCTCATTTCCAGTAAAAAGGGTCTCCGGCCACCTGCACTCACCAAGCGAAACGCAGAGGTAAACCTCTACTTCACGCTGGTTTTCTGTGAGGTCGTGGTACTACCCCGGTTCGAGCCGGCCCATTCGTGCGACAGCAAAAGCTGCCGCGTGGCTCTACCACTGTTAAAAAAGTAAAGGTACTTACAGCACGTTCGTTAAGCTTGGTAAGATAGGAGATATCAAGGAGGGCGTCCACCGTGAGTAGGATGCATGTTTCCCCGCCGCCTCCTAGCAGCCGATACGTGGCCGTAAGAAGACTTCTCTCCGTAACAGAATCCTAGAACAAGGGAAGTTATCTTTAGTCATAAAAGTCACTACACTATTTAAGTCCACGGCATTTTCAAGAGTGTGCTAGCTGCCAAGCATTTCTTTAAATATTTGTATAATACCATCACGTTGCAGAATAGTTGGTAGCTGATTTGTTTTTATAGGAGAGGGGGCAAACGAGCATGCGGCTCACCTGATGGTAAGTGACTACCGCCGCCCATGAACAACTGCAACACCAGGGGAATTGCAGGTGCGTTGCCGGCTTTTTAAAAAGGAGCAAGCTTGTTCCTTGTAAGTATTTAAGTCAATTAATACAATCAGGCGTTACTTTGCGGAGATCTATTATATTAAAGTTGCTAAAACATTACCTTGCGTACATCCGCTCGATAAAGTAAAATGATGTGTCTTACCTAGTTTGAAGAGCACCTCCCGCCCTCCCTCAATTGCGTGCGCTATCCCCGTCACCACTAATCCCAGCACCACTACTCCCAACACCACTACACTAGGAAAGACACACCACTGACGACAATACGACACGTGTTCAACTGTCTACCTATTACAGATCATAAGATACAGCCCGCTGACAGACAGACGGACGGACGGACGGATGGACAGCGAAGGCTTGGTAGTAGGGTTCTGTTGGTTACCCTTTGGGTACGGAAACCTAAAAACAGCTACCCTAAAAGCAGATTACCAGTGTCGGACAGTAAATAGTTTCCACGAAGATGATGATGATGGTAACGTGAATATAAAATAAATTGTACATAATATGTATTGTTTTTTGTTTATTGCTATATTGCTAAAACATAAGAAATTAACTTGCAATTTTCAAACATCGTGCAAAAAGTTCTGTATTTTTGTTAAAAAAAACTGGACTGTGATACAAACAAAAATATTATTAAATGATACATGCTTGTCTGCTACATGGTAGGGACTTCTTTTCTGTTATTACGAATATAACTTGTAAAAATAAAAGTAAATGTGTATTCATTCTTTTATTTTACTTTGCAGAGTAATGAAGGTCCAATACGGTAAAGGACTGAGACCTTATAATATGAGACAATATACTATATAGTACATTTATAAACACTGAGTATGAACTATTGACCTTCTTGTTTTATCTTCCTGTTATGTATATTTACTACAGTATACTTATTCGATTGTCTTTTTTATAAACCCAAGCAGATATACAGCGTTATTTTCCAATAACCGGTCAAATTTGCAGAGAAGGTTCAGATTTAATATAGGTGACGAAAAATTAATAAAAAAATTAATCTCATATATTCTGTCCTTTTTATCGTTTAAATTTAAAATGCATGGTAATGCATTATTTTACTGCGCACGCACACATTCATAAGGGTCGATCGGTAGACAAAAACATTGTGTATTGAATCGCACACAGAGAAGCGCGCGTACGCGTAGTTTTTGCCCGTAAATCACACTCAATTTGGGATAATTTCAAATAAAAGTAGAAGCTTTATTTACTCGTATTTTAAAAACGGCAAAAACGGTAATATATAAATAATAATATTATTATTATTTATATATTTGTACTAAAGTTTAAAATTTGGCTACTCTTTGAAAAATAACCCTGTATACTTTTACCGTAAAAACTACAAATCTTTCTGCTACTTACCGTTGAGCCTCCGGGCGTGAGCGTAGTTTTGCTGTACTTTGTGACCCTCGGCCTTCTCGTCGAAGCCTGACTGTCCAACTGTAGACTCTGCACTGAACATATCACCAGCACTGCGAACATATACAACATAGATCTAAGACTTGGACGACTTGAACTTGCTTATATTTGTATCATTTCACTTTAATTTTGGATTTAATTGAAGCGAGGAAGATTTCCTTTGCACGACGCTCCGTTATTGAATTGGCCTGTATACGTTACAAGCAGTTGATTTGATTAGTGATGTGTGCTTGAGATATCGATGTGGAAACATGTCGTTTCGTTTGAGGAAAATAGAAAGAAAAATATTTACAGATCTTTTTTGTTGATCTTGATAAATGACAACATAACATAATATGAAAAACACTTAAGCTATATTAAATATATACGAAAATGTGTAGGCGGCGTAAAAATATCCACTGCCCTATATCGTCATGTGAGTAAGAGGCGACAGAGGGAAACTGAAACAAGAACGGGCAGCAACATCTTCCTGTTAAAAACCGATAATAATTTTAAAAAAAACTGCGGCAGCCAGCCTGCCTTCAAAGTGTGGCAACTATTACAAACATCCTCCTATGTGCCTTACTTATGCGCGAGACCTATCTTCAGCAATGGACTAATTTTAAATTCTGTATTCCTTATCATCCCTTATTCGTCATCATACTAAGCTTAGAATATCCTACTGCTACGACAAGTCCTCCAATTTTTCCCGCCACTCTTTCCTGATCTATGACAGTCGTATCCAGCGTTTAGTGGTGGTTTTAGATTTATCTTCGGCCCACCTAGCGGATGCTCGAAAATATTTTTTCGAACCACTTGGTCACCATTCTATCAATAATAGAATAGAATAGAATTTTTATTCAATATTGATTATTGCATAATGCTTATTAAACACTACTACTACACTTACTAATCCGTTGGGCTATGTCGGTTACTCTGGTTCTGCTGCGGATATCCTCATTCCTAAGTTTATCACGCAGAGAAACTCCTCTCCATAGCTGAGCGACCTTGAGCTTCCTCATACGGCCAGCAGTGAAGGACCACGTCTCAGTTCCATAAGTCATCACTAGCAACACGCACTGGTTGTACAATTTCGTTTTATGGTTTTGAGGTATGTCTGACGAGAAGATGTGTCGTAGCTTCCCGAACGCTGCCCAGCCGAGTTGAATCCGTCGATTGACCTCTCGGTCGAAGTTGGACTTACCTAGTCGGACTATTTGTCCCAGGTAAACATACTCGTCAACAACTTCGAGCTTAGTGCTCCCAACAACTACCGGCATATGTGTGACATGGACATTAAACATAATCTTTGTTTTGTCCATGTTCATCTTAAGACCTATCCGTTGGGAGACACTATTGAGGTCATTGATCATAGTGCTTAGGTCCTCCAGCGATTCTGCCATAAGCGCTATATCGTCGGCAAATCGAAGGTGAGTGATGTACTCGCTATTGATGTTAATACCGTATCCTTTCCAGTCCAGAAGCTTGAAAACGTCTTCCAATACAGCGGTGAAGAGTTTCAGGGATATAACATCACCCTGTCTTACACCTCTCTGCAATAGATAGGTTTCGTACTCTGGTTCTGTACTCGGATAGCCATCCTAGCTCTACTGTACAAACACTTCAGCACTTCGATATACCGACAGTCAACTTGGCACCGCTGAAGGGACTGCAGCACCGCCCAAATTTCAACGGAATCAAAGGCTTTCTCATAGTCCACATACGCCAGACATAGTGGCAAATTGTACACTTCGGACTTCTGTACAATTTGCTGAAGGGTATGTATGTAGTCTATGGTGCTAAAGCCCTTTCGGAAACCGGCTTGTTCGGGAGGCTGGAAGTCGTCAATTCTGCGCGCGAGACGATTCGTAATGACCCTCGAAAACAGCACGTAGACGCGGCTCAGAAGGGAAATCCGTCTGTAATTCTTCAAGAGAGCGTTGCCATCTTTCTGAAGAACAAGACCACCGCACATCTGCTCCACGCCTCCGGTGTAATGCCACCACGGAGACATTTAAACATTTCATTTTACAATAATTTTGTTTGTACAGTTATTAAATGAATTTTAATGGAATCAGCATGGTGGCGATCACCTCATTCTCAGGGGTTAGTTTCGTTAATATATTCCTTGATATTATAATAACCCTTTTTGCACAGTTTTTCTTTAATAAAATTTTTAAACTTGTTTATTGACAAACTTTGATCAAGGACTTACCCTATCTACTCTTAATGTGTCCCACCCACTTCCACTTGAAAGCAGTCACTATACACTATACACAGTCTGTAGAACTATTTCGGATCTCGGTATTTCTCTCTGTGAGATGCCTAACAGGTCACGTTTCACCTACCTTAATTTGTGCCTAATCTAATCTCTTTTGTAAGCGTCTCATGTTTCTGTACCAAAAGTTAAATTGAGAAGGACTCACTAACTGAATCCTTTTCTTTTTAGATATTCAGTCTCTGCTCTTATTATGTGAATACGTGACAAACAGAATAGATTTTAAGCAGTTGCTTTTAACGTCCTTTAAGTAATGGATGTAGGAGTAAATCAATAATTTAGACAAAATACTAAAGCAACACTATACAAAAATAGCCATCACGGTCGAAATAATTACGTGATATATCGATTACTTTGAATCGAACCTCACTAGGTTTATTGTCAACGGAACATTTAGTAACAAAAGCTAGCACTGACCTATTGCCATCTTACGTACTTACTTCGTTGTTTGTGAAGCATTATATTGTTTTATTAGTTTGTTTAGCTTCATATATTTATGTATTATTAGTGTAAGATTTAGTTTATAATGAAAAAGAGAACACTATCGCATTAGGTTCGATCTGTAAGATGTCTCAATAATTAATAAATAAATCAATATTTTTTATTTCTAAAAATACTTATTCCATCATCTGTGGTGCCTACCGGAGGCAGAACTCCGCCATGGGTTGGTCACTCCTGTAAAATTATATTACGCTATAAGCAGGAGTGCTACCGGGCCTGGGCTGACGCTTCAACGTCCCGTGATGTAAACACCAGCGCTCTTAAAAAGAAGTATAATTCCGCTTCTAGGTCCTTCAAGTGTCATTGCCAAGGCAAAGTCAGAGCACATTAGAATTGGCGAGAAACTAGTTCGCCTCCTTTCGGGAACGCGAGCATTCTCGTCTCTCGCCAAGGCTGTCCAAGGGAACTTCTGTCAACCATCTCTGCCATCTCTCCACAGGGTGGACGACTCACTGGCCCATAACGCAAGCGAGAAAGTCGATCTGCTAGGCTCTCTTTTTTACTTCAAACTCTACTCTAGATGACGGGGCGAACACACCGCCAACCATGAGTGTGTGAGTGCTCCATGCAGGAAGTGCTATTTACACATCGCTCGGTGCGTAAAGCATTCCTCTCCCTGGACTTAAACAAGTCGAGTGGGCCTGATGGAGTCCCACCTATTATGCTGAAGACGTGTGCTCCGGAGTTGGCATCGGTTTTAACGTATCTTTTTCAGTACTGCTACTCCCTAGGCGTAGACCCAAACTCATGGAAGACAGCTTTGGTGCACCCGATCCCTAAAAAAGGTGACCGCTCAGATCCGGCCAACTACAGGCCAATCGCTATCACCTCCTTGTTCTCCACATCTAGAATCCACGTAGGCGTAATAACCAGTTGTGTAAGATCATATGCCACGGCAAAATCATAAACAGATCTCCCCGCATGATCGGTTCAACGTGAACCGAGCCATTCGGCGTGGTGGGCGTTAAAACCGCCAAGGATCACGATCTCTGAGGATGGAACCTGTTGTAGCAAGGAATCTGTAGCCATTTGGACGTGGTCGATGAGTCGGTCTGTTTCGGCATTACCGCTATGGGACCTATAGAGGCACCCTAGACGCGCGGATAGTCGTCGCTGTCTACGCCAAAGGATGGACAGATCCGAAACTTTAAGACTGCCGAGGCGTCCGAGAACAGATGTCCCCTCTAACGTATACGCAAACTCCAGCCTGAGGCACAAAGGAGTGTTCCAATTGGTACCCCGGGTAGGAGAGATACAAAGTATCAGCCGAAGAGGACACCTGCGTCTCGGTCAGAAAGAGCAAGCCCGGCTTCGCCCTCTCGAGATGGTAGTGGACGGCGTTTCGGTTCGAGTGAAGTGCCCTGATGTTGCAGAAATTCACGGATAGCGTGGCAGGGGTTGCCTTTTTCTTGTTGCTCAGTTTGCCCCGAGTAGTTATTGTTTTGAGCGGAATTTTCCCCCCTTCCCCCAGAATACGCGGGCAGCCTGAGCACCCACGCTTAGGAGTGGAGTAGCTTGGTCGTTGGGTGTTCGTAAACCGTCAAAATTAAAGCAGGCAAGAGACGTGGGCAAAAAATCATTTTATTTTTTCTCCCAGACGGGTCCTGTCTGCACGATCCTCACCATTTTTGCCGAGTGTCTTTGAGAAAGCTAGGAGAAAATGACCAATAAGGCGCACCCTATTGCGCCATGACAAGGCTTCTGCACACAAAGCGAATAAGACAAAGCTCGTGAACCATACCACACACATTCCAGACCTCGTACTATTTCCTTATTTTTCCAAAAACCAAAGATTGAGTAAGATGATAAGTTTGACATTTACGGAGCCAGAAGAGACCGTGATAATTTTCACACAGCACACGAAAAATATGATAACCCTCCCTCATACCAATGATTCTTAAATTTTCTAAAATGATTTGAACAATTAAACAAGTGTTTAAAATATATTTATTTATCCTTTATTGAACCTTACATATTAAGTACAGGATCAAAAAGCGGACTTAATGCTAAAATCATTCTCTGCCAGTCAACCTTAGGGCAGTGATAGAACTATGAAGGCGGTTACAAAGAAATATACATACACACATACATATAAACATGTACACAAATATATGTAATATACTAGCTGGACAGGCAAACTTTGTTCTGCCCTTTCCAATGATCCTTTTTCCTTTAAAAAATCTATTTAAGTCGCAATAAAAATATTAAGGGTCACTTATCGGGATAACAACTATCCTATCTTTCAAGTTGGAGCAGTTTAATTTAATTTAATACACATTTTCCAAAATCGGTTGG